CTAGTCCACTGCAATCACCTGGCCCGCCTTCTTACCAATGCCTCTCTTTCCCTCTGCTGTAGTCTGGTACTCTCCTGCTCACGATTTAGGGCTTCCATGGCCTCAGAAAGGCTTTGTTCCAGGCGGGTTACTGTCTTTCGTGAGAGAAAACAGAACAGTGAACATGGGAAAAATGCCTCCACTTCAGGAATAATAAGCAATGTCAACTTGAAGCCTCAGTGTTAACTAACTGACCTCCGGCACCAGAGAAGACGGTGTGAGGAAGGGAAAACTGGGAAGCCACCACTCATATAAATCGGACAGCAGATATAGGAACAGTAGAGGAAAGGGGGGGAGGGGTAAGAACGGCAGTTACAAGCCAGAGGCCGGTCTTTTGGGAACCCTAATACCAAAGCCCTTTCTTCCCACCTAGACATCTATGCACCAAGTCACCCACCTCCTGCTGCTTGCTTCTGGTGAGCTCTGCGGCCTGGCGCTCCTCTTGAAGTCCACGCAGCACCTCTGTCCGCTCAGCCTCATGCCGATTCCAGCCCTCTACCACTCGAGCCAGGGTCTCAAGAAAGGCAAGTAAAATGGAATTTCAAACTTGCCTTTTGCCCTCTTTTCTACAAGTCATTAGCCACATGCTTCTCCCAGGTCAGAAACCCTGCCCACCTTGTCCTGCTGTTAGCACACACACAATGGTTAAGCAAAGTCTGACGGTTCATGCCTGTAATCTCAGCACCTGGGAGGCTGAGGAGGGAGGCCACCAAAAGCTCAAAGGAAGACTATATAACGAGATCCTATCACCTCCTCACTCACCCCTCCACAGTGCCCTCCATGGGAGACCACCGACGCTGGCTACCCCGTCACCTTATCCAGTTGTTCGATCATGATATCTTTCTTGCGGTCAGCAGCCACAGCCACAGCTAACTGTTGTTGCAACTCCAGCACCCGGGTCTGCAGGCTCTGAATGTGGCGCTCACAATGCTGGAAAGAGACATGAGGCCTGGAGGTGCTGCTCATGCTTATTCAGAACACAGCACCAGACAGTTCGGCAACCTCAGGGAGAAACGGGCTAGAGACAGGAAGCTTGGGTCCCCAAAACAGAACCGTTTGAAAAGAAAGACTCAGGGATTCTGGAGCAGGAACCTTAAGACCCAAGACCACCAAACACTTTTTTCTACTAGCTCAGGAGGTAGTCGTCAGCTTCCAAGCTCTTCCCATTCCTACTTCCCATAAACCATTTGGCAGAAGTGCAGCAGAGCAGCGGCCTACACTGTAAAGTGTGGGACGTTACTCCTACTCTAAAGAGCGCACTCATCACAAAGCAGAAAGCCCTTCATTCATGCCCAGCATTTAAAATGATGGGGAGAGCTCCAAAGTTGACAACCAGTGATTCTGCCGTTCTTCATTCTTGTTCCTCTCTCTGTTCCCCCGCACCCCCACCCAGACATTAAGGCTGACAGTCACGGAGGAAAAGATCATCATATCACCCATAGCTCTAGGGCTCTGTGCAAGCCAATGAAGTTCTTGTCCATTCAACAAACATGGAATGATTTTTCTGTGTTAGGTGTATTCTAGACCTTAGCCAGTGCTGAATAGGACACAGTACTGAACTTTGAAGAGCTTGGATTTTAGGGGAAAAACAAAGAAGATGTGTGTCAGTGATAAGCTGATGGAGAGGATCAGGGATCTGATGATTCTCTGCAGGGAAGGTGGTACACAGCACACACATCACTGAGGGCCTTTCTGAAGACAGCCTAGGCACAGACCCAGCCTTCAGCCTTATACACTCTCAGCCCCACTTTTCCACCCAAGGCTCCTAATTCCTAATCTTGCCACCTTCAGAAGAAAGCCTTTGCCTCTCACCTTGCGGCGGGTAAATTCTGAGTCCAGTGCATCTCTCAGCCCCTGAAAATCTGGGGGGTTGGTGGGGGGCCCTGGCCGAAGGCTGGTATATCGAGGAAACAAGTCTTCCAGTGCCTGGGCTGAACTGGATGGAGACAGGTCTTGCAGAGGTCGGGTGCTGAGCAAACCAGATAGAGAACGTCAAAATTGGGAAAACCTTTGAGCCCCACTGATCCTACGGTGGTATTTTATGCATCAGAAAACCAAGACTAGCATGGGCAAGAGACTTGCCCAAAGTCAGAAAGCTAAAGCTAAGGAGAGACATTGACAGCACAGAGGCCTGGGATTGACCCCTGACGTTCCTTCCTCCATATCACAGCCCCTAAAACGAGGTCTAATAACAGCAGAAACAAGCACATTCTTCAAGGGGAAGAGGGTCTAAGGACAGAGAGAGCCAAGTGCTGGACAGCTACTGTCCAGGTTCCAGAAGGAAGAGACAGAAAAAGATGAAAACTCATGACAAGCTTCTGAGATACCTCGGAAGTAAATAAGCGATGACAGGGGATGAGGGAGGGGAACAGAAGTGGGTGGGTGGGTCACAAGAACTCCCTCCAAGGAGCACCTCCAAGGAGCACTCACTTGAGCAAGGTTGCTGTGCTGTCGCTGTCAAAGGAGTCCTCTTCCCGTCTCTCTGAGCCAGTTCCTGGAATGAGGGGATCCCCTGCTTGCAGCCCAAGAGACCCCAAAGTAAGGATCAAGTAGGAACAGGAACAGAGGCCATTTGAAGGAAAGTGGGCCTCCACTCCCCAAACCTCTTCCCAGAGAATGGTGCTTTTTCTTCTCAAGTCTCGCCTCAGAGGTCTACGTTCTTGCTTCCCATCTCCTGTCCTGTCCTTACACCTCAGCTTTCCCCTAGAGCTCTAAGGAAGGGCCGACTTACGATAGGCAGTGTCACGTGAGGTGTGGAGCATGGTCTGGAGCTGACCCCGAACACTTTCCATCTCAAAGATATGTTGAGACCCATCCTGGGGGGGGGGGGGGACGACACACAAAAACAAAGACCACAGAAGTCACATTTAACCTGTATAATCTATAGTCTACATACTGCCAAGGTAGAATTTTCAAATAGGCCTTAGATATTTGAGGAAAGCAGTTAGGCCCAACAAAAAAAAGATCTTAACCTTGAACCCCAAACCCAAATGTCTACAGAAGCCAGAAAGGAGAGTGCGTGAATGAAACAGCAGGTATAAAAGTAGGCTGGGGGGGACTGCCGTCAACTGTGGAGCAAATGCCTGTCTGCAGCCTGGCGCAGCTTACCTACTGGATTCCACACTCTGGAAGACCTAACCTATCTGCAGATTAGTGGGGCCTTTTTCCAGTAGGACAACTACCTTCTCTAGAACATGCATTTTTTTGTTTGATTTTGATTTTGTTTTTTTTTTTCGAGACAGGGTTTCTCCATGTAGTTTTGGTGCCTGTTCTGGAACTCGATATGTAGACCAGGGCTGGCCTCGAACTCACAGAGATCCGCCTGGTTCTGCTTCTGGAGTGCTGGGATTAAAGGCGTGCGCCACCACCACCACCACCACCACCACCACCACCACCACCCAGCTTAGAACATGCACTTTTAAAGACTTGTGTGCCACACAATCAAAATTTTGAGCTGAAAGGACCTTTACATAATTTGCCTCTTGTCTTAAGTTGCCCCAGTTCTGACCTGAGTCCAAGAAACCTAATCCCTACTTCCAGGTAACCAATCCACTCTACCGTGCAGATGTCTGACCATGCAAAAACAAAACCCTAGGAACCATCACAATTTCCCAAATTATGTTCTTCCATGCCATTCCTTCACACACTTCTACGGGACGAAAGCATGAAAACCTGTGTACTTAAGAGGTAATTTAAATCTAATAATAGATTCAAGCTGCAGCAAAGCTAACCCGAAAGCCCACGAGCCTAATGCTTCCTAATACCCAAAAGGTCTCCAAGACACGCCTCTCTCACCTTTTTCTTCAAGTTGTTCTCCAGTCCAACTGACAAGCTTCGGCTAAGTTCTTGAGCCAAGCTGTCTAAACCCTCATTAGGAGGTGAGGAGGCAGAAGCTAAAAACAGCTGGGCGCGGGCTGTCGCCTCGGCCTGCCGGCTGAGATGCAAAGAAGTATAGAGCTGGGAGGTGACCTCGGAGGACACCTGGTTCAACCCAGGAGGCTCTGATGAGTCGCTCAGGAGGTCCTCTGACCGGAGAGGTGAACTGGGGCTGGTGGCTGCTGTAGCCATGTGCAGGGAAGAGACAAGCGGACACAGCAGAACACTGGGAACTCGTGGCTCAACTTGTGGATAAGTTCACCGAGAAAGGAAGATTTGTAAGAAGGGAGGAAGAAGGCTGGATCCTCAGTAAATACGGATATCAGGGCGTTCTGGTTAGAGTAGTGTCCACTCGCTCCAGGGGGCATGGAGAGGGAGACATTCCTTCTCCTGGAAACCGCGTAAAGCGGATTTCGAGGTAATGGACAGAAGACCTGCAGAACAACGGGACCGCTAAAGTTCCTTCCTATCTGGAGCGCTGGAGGCGGCAGATCAGCTTCGGCACCGGCTAACTGGATAACTTTTTTTCACACTCAAAACATGCAAACAAACCCCACACCAAAGCGGGCCCAATGTCTGTCCCTCCAACTGGTGTTAGTGCAGAAATAGGTAAGACTTCATCGCCACAACGCCACGCTCCCGCCCCTACTTCACCGGTGCCACCCAGAGTCGACTCGCTTGGATTTCCCCTCCAATCCTTCCTGGTAAGGACCACAGGAGGTCCGCCAGAATTCTTCCCTGCTTCACCCTAAGAGCATGCCCCCCCACCCCACCTCGCACGACCCGCCTGGGATCCTCTACCGCGACCACCGGGTTCTGACTACTCTGAGCATGTCGGCCCCTAGTTTGCCAAGACGAAGAGGACTGTCCCCCTACCCCATAACCTGGACAGAGGAAAACCAAAGACCACCCCTTCCCAGCGCGGTACTCCGCTCTCAAAACCGTTGGCAACCTCCCGCCCACCGCCTCCAGCCCCGCCTCCCACGAATTACGTCACCCTCCCGCGAGGCCACGCTCCCCACACCTCCCCCGGCTTCAGAGTCCTGGGCGCGCATGCGTGCGGCATCGGTGAGCACGGATTGGCTACGGGAGAGAGGTGGAGTCTGGTGAGACTATCGGGGCGGAGCCAATGCTCTGCTGGTGCGGCTTGCCACCCAGCTGTGCTTGGAAACCGGAAGTAGCTTGTCACCCTCACTCGCAGCAATTCCGGTGAGTCCGGAGGTGGGGTTCCCACCTAACTGAAGAACCCGGTTCTACAGAGTCAGGTGCATGCCATTGAGCGAGGCCCTTTATCTTGCAGATGACTGTCCACAATCTGTACCTATTTGACCGGAATGGAGTGTGTCTACATTACAGCGAGTGGCACCGCAAGAAGCAAGCGGGGATCCCTAAGGAAGAGGTGATCGGAGAGTCCCGGCACACCCCCAGATGCACATAGTCCCATCCCAGTCCCTCTTCTCCAAATCCCGGTTCCTTCCCGCTCCCATTCTCTCTCCTTCCATAGCCGAGACCTAACTCTACCCCCTCTCCCTGCAGGAGTACAAGCTGATGTATGGGATGCTCTTCTCCATTCGTTCCTTCGTCAGCAAGATGTCCCCGCTAGACATGTACGGTCGTGTTAGAGGAGGTGTTGAAGGGAGGGCTAGCCAGCCTTGGGAGTGGTCGATATTGTTTTGGAATGGAAGTGGCATGTGGCCCCTGAGAGGGGAGGCTGATATTAGAGAGAGAAAGGTTGGATCTGGAACAAGAGTCCTGAAGCTGTCAGGAGTAGCTAGCTGCAGGGAGAGTCTGAGAGTAGGACGGGTGAAGGCAGCAGCGACTAAGTGGAGGGGTGGAGATGATGGTAGGTGTTTTTACTCAATGAGGCTGCTACAGACCATCTGTTTATATGAATAGGAAGGAGCTGATCTTGAGGGGATCACAAATATTTCTTTGGGAGTGATTCCACTCCTGTTTCAATACCCATTTCTGCAGGAAGGATGGCTTTCTGTCTTTCCAAACTAGCCGGTACAAACTCCATTACTACGAGACGCCCACTGGAATCAAGGTTGTCATGAATACTGACTTGGGCGTGGGACCTATTCGAGATGTGCTACACCACATCTACAGTGCGGTCAGTGTCAGCCGGGAACCCTTCTCCCAGAGCCCTAGGAGACCCTCAAGGTCTCTGCCCTAATCCTTTTGTATTATATCCCTGTTGGACTCAGTTTTCTCCAGAGCCTTCAGCTCCTTCAACAGTAATAACTATTCCTAAGGGAGAGGTTGAGTGCTTTTAATGATTTAATTTTAATGATGTGTATTATGTAGAGGGGGTTTATGCATGTGAGCACAGGTGTCTGTGGAGGGCAGAAGAGGGTGACAGATCCTCTGGAGCTGGAATTAGGGGCATTTGTGAGTCATTCAGCTTGGGTGCTGGGCGCTGACTGTCCTCTGCAAAAGCAGTATGCTTTCTTAACTGCTGAACCGTCTCTCCAGCCCCCCCTCCGTGTATTCTTACATCCCTGAGGTTATACCAGGTTTGAGGTTGAAAATGAGAAGTGTCCCAAATCTGGCTCACACACCCTCCTCTCCACAGCTGTATGTGGAGCTGGTCGTGAAGAATCCCCTGTGCCCACTGGGACAGACTGTGCAAAGTGAGCTCTTTCGCTCCCGGCTAGACTCCTATGTCCGGTCTTTGCCCTTCTTCTCTGCCCGGGCTGGCTGAAACATCTACCTCACCCCTCAGAAGAATCCGTGACTGTCTGGACCCTTGTGACTTGTGGCACCCTGAGCCCTTCCACCTCCCTGTCTCCCCCAAGAGCTTCAACCTGAAGGCCCACCACCCACTGCCTCCGAGTCATAAGAATGAAGCCCAAAGGAATCCTTGACAGTTTTATCCCCTGCTTGACTCTATGAGGAACACAGAATAAACTCTTTGTCACCTTCTGCTGCCTGAGTGTGGGTTTCTGTGGCCCCTCCCAGTGTGACTCATAAAGATGGGAACTAGTGTAGCCACACATCCCTGAAGCCTATAAAGAGATTTTTTCCAGCAGATTTCTCCGATCTTTTACTGCTCACATCTTATCAGTTGGATAATTCCTTATTACGTTTTAGTATTTTAGCGGCAACCTTTACGACCACTTGCTAGATGTAGTACATACATCCTGCCTCACCTCTAGTTGTGACAATCGGTGTCTCTAAACCTTGTTTTCTGGGGGACAAAAAAAAGCCCCTCTCGACTGCACATCACTGGTCGGGAGGAAAGTTGACATACTTCAAGTACAAAAAGTAGAACCACGTTCCTAAAACGGGATGTCCTGACCAAGGCACTCTGTTGAAGCCGGGGAGTCTTCCGCAGGCGGAGCTTATGCAGATGAAGCAGCGTGTTCGGCTCGGAGGCAGGCGGGCCCATGCAGATGAAGGGGCGGGGCTGCATGTTGATGAGCTGGGCTTGCTGCCGACGCGGCTGGGAGCACAGCGGTCCCGCAGCGGTTCCAGCTGAAGTGGCACCCGTCTTTCGCCACCCCTTGTCCCTGGGTCTCTATCCTTGAAGACCGTCCTCGACTTTATCTTTATCCTTACCCGTTTATCCTCCTACTCCCTGCATCACAGCCCCCGGCATCTGAATACCCACCACTCCTGGCACCCTCCCTCCCCACGGTTTTCCTTTCCCGCCGCAAACCCCGCGACCTCCAGCAGCCCGCCCCCGCGGGCCCGATTCCGTTTGGCGGCTCTAGCTGCAGCCTCCCCAGCCTTCCCGCTCTCCCAGGGATCGCGCTACTACCACACCGGTGTCTGCCCTCGGACTTGCCCGCTCCCTCCTCCCTCTCCCTCGGAGCCCCCTCCCCCGCCCTGGCCAGCCGGCATGCAGGTGTCTATCGCGTGTACCGAGCAGAACCTTCGCAGCCGGAGCAGTGAGGACCGTCTGTGTGGACCCCGGCCGGGTCCTGGGGGCGGTAATGGAGGGCCAGTGGGCGGAGGGCATGGGAACCCTCCGGGGGGTGGACCCAAGTCACGAGCTGCACTGGTCCCCCGACCCCCAGCACCCGCTGGGGCCCTTCGAGAGAGCACCGGCCGAGGCACTGGCATGAAATACAGGTATGGGGTGGCCAGGCAGCCTACCCATTCGCTTCCCTTTCGGGACTCCTGAGGCTTTCTGGGTTATCGCCGCGACCCCTTCAAACTTAGCTCAAAAGGTCCCTATTCATTCCCCTCTCTTCTTTCCGTCACTGGCTCTCTCTCTCTCTCTCTCTCTCTCTCTCTCTCTCTCTCTCTCTTGGTCTCTGTTAGTTCCCCTAACTATGAGACCAAGTTTACCAAGGTTGACAGAGTCCTGTCATATCTAAACAGTGCCCCTGAGGTGCCCTCCTTATCCGTAAAAAGCGGGGAACGCCTGATCTCCAGGCTGCTTCCCCCTCCAATGGAGTGCCCTTGGGTTGGCGTCCTGGGGAGAAGAGCGAAGGAAACAGCATCTCACTCTGGCCGGTTGGGGCGCCTGACCCAGATATTGCCCCCACCAGCCCCGAAGCCAGTCTCCCTCAACCTTTCCAGGGTGAGGTCAGGGCAGGAGAGGGGAAGGGGACAGACCACACCTTTCATCCCCATGCTGGAAGACAAGAGTTGGGTGGGAAGGGCTATGGGAATTTTACTTCACCTTAGGGGACTGCTGGCCAGAGACGGTCAGAACTCGAAATGGGGGGGGGGGGGGCACTTCTTGGGAATATGCTAAGGTCATTGATGTGACCTGCCTTTGTCCCCTGAAGTATCCCATCCTCTCCCTGTAGCAGCCCTGATTAGGAAGTAGAGCTGTGTGATCTATGCCTCGGGAAGAGGAGGAGTTCTAGTTCAGTCCTCAGAAGTCAAAGAGAGACACGGACTTTCCAGTCAAATCCTCCCCATCTCCACATCTGCCTTTGCTGGGGCCTCATCTCTGTGCTTAGTCAAGTGGCCGAACTGGAGTTGGTTTATATCTTTCTACTGCCACCCTTTAGTGTGGCGTTCTTTGACTGAGGGCCTGTTCCCAAACTCACCACCATCAGCCACATTGTTCCAAGCCCACTCACTACTCCACACATCCCAGAGCTGGCTGAGACACGGGCAGGGCTTCACCCGGAAGACAGACCGGAAGGCACAGATGACAGGAATTGAGGGGCTAGACAGCGGCCCTCGAGGAACAATCCATCACTATTCACTCGTTCTTTCAACAATATTCCTAGGGCCTCTGCCCATGCCATCAGCCCACTGGGTCTGGTTTCTTTGGACTGAGACCCTTGAGGGCGTCTCAGTTTGGAAGGACAGGAGCTGGGGACTGATCGTCCAAGTCCCCAGTGGAGGTTTCACCCTTCCCTGCCGCTTCTGTGTCCTGCAGGAACCTCGGAAAGTCTGGTCTCCGGGTGTCCTGCCTTGGCCTTGGTGAGTTAGAATAGAAAGTAAAGAAAAGGAGCATTCTTTTATAGTGTGGCTCCCACAGTTCTCACGTGTCCGACGTCTGTCTTGCAGGTACCTGGGTCACATTTGGCTCTCAGATCTCAGATGAGGTATAAGTGATGGGACCCAGAAACAGGGTAGAGGTGGTTGGGGAGAGGGACTAAGAAGAGAAAGAAGTGGATCTATCTAGCTAGGGTTTGGACAAGCTTGGTGGGGGCGGGTGGGGCGGGGAGAAGGGATCTGAGGCTGGAGGCTGGGCAAAGAGAGAAAATGGGGGAGCCAGGACTGAAGTGCTATGCGTTAGGATGCAGGGAGGGAAGTAACTAAGGGGCAGTCGTTCATCTCCAACTTTTTCTCGCCTCCCTAGACAGCAGAAGATGTGCTGACAACGGCCTACGAGCACGGCGTAACCCTCTTTGACACAGCAGAAGTGTATGCGGCGGGAAAGTAAGAACCAGGGTAAAAGAGGAACGCTATATCTGGAAGGCAGGCTGAGAGAATGTCAGGGATTCTTGTTTCCCTCTTTAAAAAAAAGGAACCTGGGAATTCTGGGAACACTAAAGTCCAACTTTTCGGGGCTCATGGACCCCCTGTGCACTATGGGAGTTGTAGTTCTCACAACACTTCCTCTCTGGATTAGAGGTCTGTGTACATACTGTGCAGTTACATTTAAAATAAAACCAACAAATTTATCCTTAAGATTACAAAGCTGTATTTTCAAACACACCATGTCACATCACATGCCCATGACTTTACATTGGGAGCAGCCAGAGTCTAGGGTGGCCTACTCTGCCTCTTTATTTGATAAACATTCTTCTTCAAGATTAGCTCAAATGTCAAATCCTCCAAGAAGCTTTTACCCAACTGCCCAGAGTTGGTCACAACCTTCTGTAAGCATCCATGACACTCTGTACTACCTTCAGACATAAAGTATAGTTGCTTTATACGACTATACTTGCTGCTCAGCTCAGAGGCTTCCCACCTCCATGGAACTTGTCTTCCCAAGACCCTCTGGAGAGGCCATCACAAAGCACGCATAGTTTAGGGAAGAGGTCAACATAACCTTAGAAAGTATACAGTCTAAGTGATTACACAAACAAGGGACAGAGGAGAGCTCCCACACCGTGGAGTGTTTCAGTAATTTAAGACTTGTCACAGGTTAGCCCATATTTGTGTCTTAACAGACTGTGTAGGCTGGGCATGATGGCACACACCTGTAATTCCAGCATTGGAAGGCTAAGGGAAGAGGGTTGAGAATTTGAGGCCAACCTGGGCTACAAACTGAGATCTTCTTTCCAAAGGGGGAGCGGGGAGAAGTTGTGTGAGCAACTCTCTGGAAGCTGGTGAGAAGGATTCACCATAGACTGGCACTCACAGGCAGAATCAGAGCTGGTGAGAAGGATTCACCTTAGACTGGCACTCACAGGCAGAATCAGAGCTGGTGAGAAGGATTCACCATAGACTGGCACTCACAGGCAGAATCAGAGCTGGTGAGAAGGACTCACCATAGACTGGCACTCACAGGCAGAATCAGAGCTGGTGAGAACTCACCATGGATCAGCACTCACAGGCAGAATCAGAGCTGGTGGGGACTCACAATGGATCGGTACTCACAGGCAAAATCAGTGCTGGTGAGAACTCACCATAGACTGGCACTCACAGGCAGAACCAGAGCTGGTGAGGACTCACCATAGACTGGCACTCACAGGCAGAACCAGAGCTGGTGAGGACTCACCATAGACTGGCACTCACAGGCAGAACCAGAGCTGGTGAGGACTCACCCTGGATCGGCACTCACAGGCAGAATCAGAGCTGGTGAGGACTCACCATAGATTGGCACTCACAGGCAGAATCAGAGCTGGTGAGGACTCACCATGGATCGGCACTCACAGGCAGAATCAGAGCTGGTGAGGACTCACCATAGATTGGCACTCACAGGCAGAATCAGAGCTGGTGAGGACTCACCATGGATCGGCACTCACAGGCAGAATCAGAGCTGGTGAGGACTCACCATAGATTGGCACTCACAGGCAGAATCAGAGCTGGTGAGGACTCACCCTGGATCGGCACTCACAGGCAGAACCAGAGCTGGTGAGGACTCACCATGGATCGGCACTCACAGGCAGAATCAGAGCTGGTGAGGACTCACCCTGGATCGGCACTCACAGGCAGAATCAGAGCTGGACTTAGGAGGACCTCTGTTATTTTACAGAGGCAGATGAAGAAGAGAACAACCCAGATGACTGAAACCAGAAAAGGCAGTGCCCACCCTGACTCGGTTCTCTCACCTCACCATACTCTACCCCTTAAGCACCCACACTAGGACTTGGTACATAACATGGGCGAATGAATAAAGAGTGTGTGACTAAGCTACCAGCTGCGGAAGCCCCTCTCCTTTGTCCAAGATGGACCTGAGACTCCAAATTGACTCCTGTTCCCCTTTCTTCCTACTAGAGGGGACAAGCTGGGAGAAGGGGAGGGATCGATCTGTCTTGGAGAGATCAGTGTCCTTACGTTGT